ACATGTTTGATTTTCCAGTTTCGTCATGACGCACCTCCAACGGCATTATCAAGTGGGCATTATCCATGCCAATGACCAAATCCGCGCTACTCTTATCTGAATAATCGCTAAAAGACAAATCCGCCAAATGAGGATAACGCTCTGTCTCAACAAACCGATTCGCCCGGACGCGTATGCTAGGCACAACTATCGCGTTGTAAATTGGATACGCAACAGAATTGTCATCTTGAGGTGACACATTGAACGAAACTACGGCTGAGTTGATTCCCTTCACATCGTCAATAGTACTTAATTGACATTTCACGTGCCCTGTGCTTCTCAAAGAAAGTTCTGATACCAGTTTCTCAGAAATGAAAGTGGATGTAGAGCCACTATCGAGCAGTGCTAAAGCCGATTTATCGCCATTTATCTTTACAGCCACAATTGGTAAATTCACGCTTCGCGACTCTGTCTGAGTACAGGTATGTGACGCAATGGGGGGAGTGAGATCTGTTTTCACAGAAACGTGTACAAATTTAGAATGTTTCATTCCACAACCCGGCACGCTGCATACAGACTTTTTTCTACACTGACTGGCAAAATGTCCCGCCCTCAAACAATTATAACACAACTTGTTGCGTCTAACAATATCCAAGCGCATCTGAGGCTCTTTACTCTTGAACATGTCACACTGAAACAACCCATGTGATTGTTTACACACTACACACGGAGGGACATCCATATCATCACTCGCACTCGGCCCAGTCATGCTTGCTAATGATACAGAAGGGTTGACTTTCACTCGCCCATACAATGAACATTCACCATACACAGGGTCACATGCATCAGCAGCATACTTCATCATGAAAACAGTAAATTCTTTAAAAGTTGGATATCTGTTATCATCGTTTTTGATTTTAAGAGCATGCTTTCGCCACCTATCACCTACGTGCCCTTTACACCTCTTAACTATGCGTAATATAGAATTCTGGTTGTCAATTTCATTACTCATTTTCAACTTTTCTAATGTTAACTGAGTCATCTGAAGTTCATCAGCTAGACTTTGGAGCTCCGTAGGCGAAGAAATGCTTCCACCACTTGTGAGATTCTCGATCAAATGTCTCGCCACCAAATGGTCATTTCCGAACCTATCTTTCAAAATGGCACGCGCTGCTTGGTATCCAGATTCACCGCCGATGATGATACAGTTTTTGATAGCTTTCTTAGCAGCTCCGCTGGTAAATTGTATCAATCTAGTTAATTTTACCTGACCGCTTTCAATTTTATTCCCAACTAGCTCATCAAAGAGCGCGCAAAAGTTATGATATTCCTTTGGATCACCGTTAAATNAAGTATTTTTAGCGATTTTTCTCCAAAATACTAAAACCCAAGTAGCAGCTCTGATAATAGAGATAGACTAATTTGGTTTTTTGCAGGTTGTTTTTAAGATGTATTAGCATCTTTTTAGGTGGTTTTGGCACTGTTTTGGAGAAAAAGGCTATCTAAGGACCCCCCCTAGCATTAGCGATGAAACCATTCGAATAATTTTGCGTTAAGGCAATGATACTTTCGGAATGAACCATCTATCTAATTTTGGGAGAAATACAACGCTACCAATAAAGCATGCGCGTCATCGTCTGTCTTCTTACATTGGCTTTTGGAGAATTTTAGGTTGTGTATTTAGTCTGATGGCCTGTGGCTAGAAGAGTCGCAGCCTTAATTTCACCGAGGAAACCCGGTAGATTTGCTTATTTGGGTAAATGTGATATATATTACCACATTCACATATTCACATTGCTATTGACAAAGATCGGTATGTATATTTTTGAATAACATGTAGTCCTAATTTGAGTCAGTAAAATATACAATTATAGACAGAAATCAAACTTGGCCCTACATTAAGTGTTACTCTCGCTTGCTGATACATGTAGTACATGTACCAGTAAAGCATTTGGTCAAACACAAACAGAAGTTGGCCAAACATATGCAATTAAAGGATCAATATATATGTATGTTAAGGAGGTCCGTGAATTTACGTGTACTCTCATTTTCTTTATGAGAGTTCTTATTCCATATCAAATTTCACAACTTCTTGTTACTCGCCAAAGTCAACGCTTAAACCGCTGTCTGCCATTTTCGCTCGGTAGACTTCATCAAATTCGTCATTTTGTTGGACGGTGAAGTAATTTTTCCAGTCGCCCACTTTCCCTTTGCGATAAAAGTGGGAAACTGAGTAGTCAAAAACCTCAAATTTTGAAAAATTGGTGGCTGGATTTTGTTTCATACTTCCGAAAGAAGTACGTCTGACTATTTCCTCGACTACATTCTCATTTAAAGATTTCCCAAGAAAGTTGGCAACCTTTCGAACTGCCCCAGCATGATCTTTAACCATATCTTCGTAGTGGAGAAACAGAACGTCTTTGTTATCTTTAAATTCCCGCCAAAACTGAAGCACATGATCAAACCATGATCCGTGGGCTACATTTCCCGCCATAAACATCCCGTAGAACTGAGACCACGTGCCTGGAAAGCGGCCAAGGCTTGCATCCATACGGTAGAAATGGTAGTAGGAGACGGCGACATCCTTAGGATTTCTCAACACGTGTATCATCTTTGAGTGCTTCTCTCGCATTTGCTCAGGTAGCTGGTGCGCAGCCACGTGTGTTTTGAAAACTCGTGGTCGCGGGACCTCGCCCAACTCTCGTAGTCTTGCGTTATCGACCTTGCCATGTTCCAACCATGGTGTACGCATGAGGCTGTCCGTCTCTTCGTTTTCATAGTAGCTGTCGTAGTGAAGGATGAGGTAAACCAACTCCAGGCTCCATGTCTGACCTGTAGACACCCAAATGTCTATATATATAATTTTATAACAGATAAACTGAAAGCCTTGTGCACCTAAGGCGCGTTTAAATCAAATATTGGCACAGGTGCCCCTCCCCCACTCTCCTGACGGACTTTGGACAGGCCATTGGTTAATTATGAATTGGCTCCTTTGTATGTAATGTTTTATTTTTTCTATAGCAGCTTAGAAGTGAATTTTCAATAAAAAAATTTTTTCTACATGTATCAGCAATATATATATGTTTACAGCATGGTGAAAAAGTCGATTACAGCACGTACCATTCTGAGGTATCAAATGTGTTCACTCCCACTATGTTCACATAGTCGTAAAGGAAACCTTAATAATATGGTTCAGAAGAAGTTTGTACCATTAATGCAAGAAAATGGTGCAGTTTTCAATGGTAATACTTTGACAAATATATTATTCAGTTTAACTATAACTTCACCCACCTGATTTGGGATATGCTGAAACCACGCAGTCATCTTCAAACATGTCGAACGTTTTCACCATTTCTATACTTTCTCGAGGCGAGTATCCACCCAGGAGTACACCATCTAGGTAGTGTTGGCCGGGAATTGTAAAGCTTTTCAAGTCGAAATCAGACATTTTCTCAGTGAATTAAGTCTCAGCCCTTCAGATGTCGATTAATATTTAACATTGACGCCAGCTGGTGTTGTTTCTCACTTATAAGTTACGTTTACTGACCCTGCGTTTTTCAGTGACAGGGCCACAAGTTGACCTGCTTTTCATACCATGGGAGATATCAACCGTAGGAGTGTAAATATAACGTAGTTTATCTCCAGGTGCACGTATTATCCATGTCAAGTTTATTCGTTATATATCCATGTACAGTGCGACAAATATCTTAAGTACTTGTCTGATCGCTCGAATATGGGAACCCCTTGCCAATTTTACACACACACACACACACACACGCACGCAATTTCTCGAAACTTTTACCCTGGCCAATACATTTCATGATTTAATATGACTGAGCTATCAGGCCTGACCTGCACCTGTTGCCCTGTTAGTTCCAGTGGCGGATTTGGCGGGGGGAGTGGGGGAGGTCGAACCCGTCTTAATTTCTAGGATAAAGTGATACAACTTCCAAGATACATTTTAAGAATATCGAACCCGTCTCCCCTCCTCGATAAAAGTTGGAATTGTTTATTGTTCAAATATTTTTTTAATTTTTTTTCTAAGGTTAAAATAATGACAACATTAGTCGTTAATGATGGACAACATCGGATATAGCATGACGTGAAGTGGAAATAGATTAAAAACGATAAAGACACTGTATGTACAGCGAATGTCATCCTGTAAACCATTACATCGGATTTCCATCGTATCCATCGTATCGTGTCGTATCGTATCGTAACGACCGTGCAGTAGCCTACCATTTGGCAGTATTTGAGAATTTTTTTTTTTTTTTTTTTTTTTTTTTTTTTTTTTTTTGAAATTTTACCGAAGTAGTGATCATGGGAGGCCTGATAGCTCGGTTGGTTAGAGCGTCGTGCTAATAACGCGAATGTCCTGGGTTCGAGCCCCAGTCGGGCCATTAGACACTTTTTTGTGTCATAAAAACCTCGAAACGAGTTTGTAATTTTGCCCATTTTGTAATGTGGTCTTAAAAAAGGGAATAGATGTGTTACTAATGACAACATGATGGGATATAATTACGGGATGAAACCCCATCCGCGTGAGGCATTTTATCATTTCAACATCTTTGTGTTATAACAATGCAAAGAAAATAATATAACCGACATGAAAAATATATAGTAAAACATACAAAAATCACACAGTGAATTTAATCCATAAGTAACTGTGGAAAGCGGCGTTCAAAGACCAGTGACAAAAATGTATTTTGGATTTGAATGTCACTTTGCGTGACCGTATATATTGCTTCTGGTGTACTGGTGTACTGTACGTTCAAAATGCCCATATTGTTGAAAGTAGCTTCCCGTGTTTCCTTTATGTAAAAAAAATTGGCTTGATTCTTCACTTTCATCTAACTGGTTATCTTCCAATTCAGCATGGTATGCATCATGTGACGCTTCGAATTGTTGAAACGTGTCCGTTAGTCTGTCCAATGCAATTTCTACTGCCCTAGCGTCCTCACACGCGACTGCTCGTTCGATGTGTCCAATAGCCTTTGTGACCGCGCCCTTACGGGCACGACGCACATGAACTAGCTCTTCTGATGCCATTGTTATTTCACTGTTGCGAATACAAAAACATAATTTTCCGGTGGAGGTATGAACATTTATTTACACACGTCTCGACACAAACTGATGACGGTGAACTGAAATAATTGAAACAATGAAACAAATGAAAGTAACAGAATAAACAAATATAAATTTCAACTTAATACAAATATCACAATAAAGAAATTACAATAAAACACATATATAAAATAACTAAATACATACATAACAATGCTGCCTCCACTCATTCGCGTACAGTACTAGGCGTGTTCCAACCATGACAATACATGGTGACGTTTTATTTCCACTCAACAGAACACCAATCATCCAACATATGAGGGCGCCACTCACACCAAGACGAGACAACACAAAGTAAACATGACAAACAACACAAACAAACGAAACAAAAATTGCCGACGACACTGTCGGCAACAACAACTAGGGTGTAATCCACAAACTAGGGCCTTTCTTTTGTTAGGAGATATGAGTCCATAATTGTGATGCTACGTTAAATAAAACTATCATCTTCCCTTTTTACTTATAAAACCAAAAGTGAAATTTTCAAGAAAATACCCCGGCGACAGAATGAAGTACTAATTGTCGTGATTGAAAACTTCGAAACTTCGCTGTGACAACAATAAACAGAAGCTGTTCAGATGAGGGAGATCTGCATACAAGCGATATTTTAGTTTTCGCCCCAAAACGCTGCCTTTACGTCATCATCTCGAATTAGCAAATTCAGCCAGGGCCCCTTAACTTGAAAGCATCGCGAATTGCAAATGGCGATTTCACATAGAGGCAGTGTATTATATGGGGCGAGTATGGGCGAGTTATGGAATCGAGACGCTTGCGCTCGGTCGCAATGTGTGACGCTTTCGAGTTACTTTTGAATTTTTGAGATGACAGCTTTACGCATAATACGACACACTTTAGATTCATTTATACCGTATCTTAGNGAGAATGCGCTCTTAGACGCATTCAGGACAGTAAACTAACTAGCCCGAGGTTCAAACTTGGCCGACCCACTTGAATACTTCACCACGGGGAATCTATTCAGTGTCTCTTAGCTGATAGTTAGTCCACTCTTCTGAATGCGGCCTTAGAGAATATGTGTGCTTTAAGAAAAAAATCTGGAGCAGTCTCCCTCTGAGACATATACAGCTAGGTCAATAAGACCGTTCACAGTAGGTCACGGTCAGTGCGACCGTGACTCCTGATAACCCCCGCGTGGATAATAACAGGGCAAATAGCGACAGTTTAAGCTGTTAAGTTATCAATCGTAACCATCTTTGACTCCCCGCTGTCTACATCGTGTCCCGTCAAGCAGTCTGTGCAATCATACGCCCCGCTAGTTCCAAGCATTGTTCAGGTGTAGAACGGCACGTGCCCTTTGTTAAGACATGGAAGACTAAATGTTGGGTTTAACCATGGTTTAAGCACTGACGATATTTCTGTTTATTCACCGCATTCCGAACTTCGTAGACATTTTCAAAAATAGAATTTTGTAATTGAATGAAATATAATTAATTTACCGATGTTGCCCTTTCATCTTAATTTTAGCTTACTTAGGTGAAACGATAAGAGTCACGATAACATGCTCAAGCCAATTGAAAAAGTGAAGTATGAATATGGCAGAATTATGCGGTGATTGTCTTTTTCAATGAAGTGGAATGTGACCTACATGTATAGATAATGAAACAAATTATTGCAGTCAATGAATAATCGGTTTATTCACAATTAACACGGAACGTCCATACAGTAAACTACAACAATTTTATAAAAAATAAATTGAGGTCACAACTGAGGAATGTATAAAGTACATAAACCATATAAACAAAGTTATTCCGGAGGTGTTGAAAAGGGAAGGCCGTGCATCCGGATATTAGATTAATGATTATCAGGAGAATGCACTTTTTCAATTAAATGACTGTTCGTAATAGCCATTTTATTAATTTGCCATTTTAAACGATGATAGTTGTCGAGAGAATTGTGCGCGATATGTTTCGAGAGGAGAATAAATACGTACGTAATTATATGTATACACAAGTACAGTTAATGTACGCTGCAGGAACAGGAAAATATTTCGGCGTCATTCTTCAAATATCAACTGTACAAGTGAGTCCCTTTTTTGATGCTTTTTAAGTTTCAATACAAGTAAATGACTGCCCCACAGACCAGTTGTACAAATGTTTTTCGATTTTTTCTTAAATATGAATGTTTACATGTCTGGTGTATCAAACTCCATCGCATTGAAGGATGAGACCAGCTTGTGACCACCATTGCAGATAAAATCGCAACTACATTGTAGGGCTTCTTATCTGATGCACGTTTGCACGTTGTAATTGCTCCTTTCGCCCCCGTTATTGTTCCCTCGGAAAAGAAAGGAAGTTGTCTTTGTCTTCAATATGTTTAAGCTTAGGCAGTCCCTTAGTCCCAGGTGCACAGCTTTTAGCCTCTGTTGCAGCTGATTTTATTCAACTAAATTAATTGATATACTGATTTTTTCTTAATGCAATTATAAGTAAGCAACATTTAGAATATATATGTAACAATTATTACACTTGATACATCGTAGTGAAATCTATCTTGTCGTCTTGACAAATGTGTGTATATTTGTTTGTGGACCTTTGACAGTGCTGGAGAGGGTACACATTTGCACCCATCTTAGTGCCATGAAGAGTTTACTTCCTAATCTCTGTAGTGGCGATGCTCTTCATAGTAAAATATTTATTATCATTCAACTAGAAAAAAGACATTTTCATAAATTAACCAAGGCTTATAAACACGTCCTGAAATAATGATAATGTACAGCGTATTTATTTATTTTTGTTATTTTTATTGACTTGTAGATTGAGTGTAATGTTGCCAAATACTATTATTTGCAGACAGATATGGAGTGGTAGAGTGCGATGATGGTGGGGTCGTTAGTGTCGACACGTCAAAGTTAACGACGGTAGACGGGGGGAAAGTAATGGTTGGGGCCCAAATTGTATTTTCTGCTAAACCCGCTTTATATATTCCCATTTAACTGACGAAGTACAGTAAGTAGATGCTTTGATTTTTGAAGTAATAAGAAGCGGTGCAATATTTACCGGACAGCAATTAGCGGCTATTAATGCCATCACGCCTAAATGCACACGCTTCCTGAATAAGACGGTCGCCCCCTGCCAGGTTGAGAGATCGGGACACGCTCTCCTGCCACGCGACTGGCTAAATATCCATTGTTAAACGATCCTCCTACTTCCATTGTTCAAAAAGTGGGCGGTAGGCTTGGTCACGGTGAAGAGTAACCGTGTCCGTAGACACGATCACGGTAGTGAGAACAGATTAAAAAGCCTAGCTGTACACACGTGAACACACACACACATAAGCTGTTATGTTATCAAGGGTCAAATAATTAAGAACGCGGCGCCAACTTATCAGGAGGTAGACCACTTTTAAATAGGCCATCGCGTAACAGTGTTCAGAAGAAGAGAAGTGGAATAGTCGGTGGTAAAAGTATGTCTGATTTCGATGTAAAATCCTTCACCATTCCAGGTCAGTATTATCTGGATGGGGTGCTGCTAGGGAGTTACAATCCGCCGGATGGTATGAAAGCGCTGAGAGAATTCGATTTGTTCGAGGATGACTGCATAGTTGCAGCGTATCCCAAATCAGGTGTGTAAAACTTTACATGATCGTTAACCCCCCCACCCCAATATGTCCAAGGTGAACTTGATAATATATGCCTAAATGAGTAATTGATTTATTATCAAATCATTGGTTTAAACCGAAGGTGATATAGTAGTTAAAAATGATGTTGAAGGCCCTATACAACTACACGTAGTAATCAAACGTTGCTGTCTACTAATATACTCCAGGAACAAATGTGTGTGCAATGTTTCAAAACAATGGCCTGATAAAAAAAAACATGCTTAAGACTTCTTGATGAATTACTAAAAATGATGTGAAAGTTTATCTTGTAGAAGTAGCTTACATCCAGTGTGCTAGTATAACCAAATACCAAGCAAATGAGCTGTATTGAAAAGAGAACAATATATAGGCATACTGATTACACTTATGTAGGATAAGTAAATTCACCCCACGGTGATGCCTTTACATCTAAACTTTTTAAAAGGTGTGTATGCACGATGTTGGTCATTGTTTGTACATATGTACATGTAAACGGGTAAAATGTTTCGGTATAATGACTTGTCGATTTTCGTTGTTTTCCACCTTTGATTCATTTGATAATTAAATTTTCGATATTAATTAATTCTACAAAATAAATGAGATGGACTCAATTTATTTATTTATTTTTTCATTTATTTATTTATTTAACTCGCTTGAGCAATTTTGGACTGCGCAATATAGGGAATCCAGACCCGTAAGTGGGGATGGATTTTTCGATGTATTCGAAAGACACCCCCCCCCCCCCCCTTTTGCTGGGAAAAAAGTTAGCTCTGAGTAAAATCTGATCTACGTGCACGAAGATTTCACGGCATAAAAAATCCCCTTTGCAATTGCTGGCTACGGGCCTGAAATTGGTTGAGGTGTAAATGATCAATTTTAGGATTCAAGTGGTCAACTATAAAACACAGTTAATAAAATTGCAGGTCAAACGTGGACGTTGGAGTTGGTCTACCTAGTCTTACACCACGGGACAGCTTACGAGAGAGAGAATACAGCACGTGATATGCGCACTCCTTGGATAGAATGGGGGCCGGTAGATGAAGAGAGGTTACGAAATATCAGCAACATACCAAGGCCACGTGTTTTCAAAACGCACGCGATAGCCAAACATCTTCCAGTGCAACTGCGAGAGAAAAATGTCAAAATGGTCTTCGTATTTCGGAATCCCAAGGACGTCGCAGTATCGTATTATCACTTTTATCGTATGAATGCTGTTCTTAGTCGCTTTCCAGGCACGTGGTCTCAGTTCTACGAGATGTTTATGGCGGGAAATGTAGCCCATGGCTCGTGGTTCGATTACGTGCAAGAGTATTGGCGGGAATTTAAGGATGACAAAAACGTATTGTTTTTGTACTACGAAGACATGGTGAAGGATCATGCAGGTTCAGTTCGGAAGATTGCCAACTTCCTCGGTAGAAATCTTAGAGATGATGTAGTTGAGGATATTGTCAAGCGCACTTCCTTCAAAACTATGAAGGATAATTTCGCAACCCGTGCTCACAAAATCCCATTTTTCGATGAAAACATATCTCCGTTTTTCCGCAAAGGCAACGTGGGTGATTGGAAAAATCACTTCACCGTGCGACAAAACGAAGATTTTGATAGGGTGTACGCGGAGAAAGTTGCGGAAAGCGGCTTTTGCATTGACTTTGGGGAATAAATGTATTAATATTATTTAAGCTATTCTTGTCTGAGGAAAAAATATATTCTGCATTGTGCATGCGTGTTTGAAACAACTTTGAAGTGAAGGACAGACCATTTAGAAAGAAGGACACTTATCCCCCTGCGCTTCCTGCTCTGATGATATAGTTCATTGAAATATATTGCTTATATACTAGACAATATGTTCTGTAATACTGAAGTAAATAATTATACATATTAACCCTCTGGTGGAAAGATTTTTGATAAAATTAAAGTGCTAGTATTTTCATTTTAGTGGAAATTTAACTCTCTCTCCCTCTCTCTCTCATATTCCTTGATGATTTTCGTTATATTCACATAGCGGCTTATTTCACCAGCACGCTACCTACACACAACATATTAATAAAATATATATATATATATATATATATATATATATATATATATATATATATATATATATATATATATATATATGAACCTGTATAAACGTCACTTTCAAGCAGACAAATATTAGATTTTTCATTTTTATAACTTAAATATTTTATCGTATTAATCATATACGGCATGAATACAGCGTTTATTGAATGAGGTACAATAGACATTATTCACAACCTTGATCATCATATTGATTATCATGGAATGTCGACTTTGTTTTCATTTGTGAATCTTAGAATTTCATATGTGAAGGATGTGATTTCATATGTGAAGGATTTCACATGTGAAGGACCTGATAGCTCAGTCGGTTAGAGCGTCGTGCTAATAACGCGAATGACCTGGGTTCGAGCCCCAGTCGGGCCAGCATCTTCTTTTATCACGAAGTGCACGGCAAAATGGGCAATGTAGGCATATTCGTCATTGGGCTAAGAGAAACCCGGGCTACCGATTCGAACTAAAGCACACTGCAGTTAAAACTAGATTCAGCAAGAGTTCCCGTGGAGTTAGTGCGCATTCATGAGCTAGGTTAACGTAATTCATATTGTACAGACCCTAGATTGTATAAATGCGGACGTGTGGCACGTAAGGAAGTCACTTCCTTACAGCTTTGAAGATCACTGAATAGAATATAGCGATAAAAACTACACCATGGAAAGGGTAGGCCTACATGTACTGTTGAGCAACCACAATCCCCCAGATGCCTTGAGAGCACTAAAAACATTCCAGTTGTTCGAAGATGACTGCATGGTTGCCGCGTATCCTAAATCAGGTTAGTTAGATCAATTATCCATTCGAATTATACGCGCTTGGCGTTCATTTTTCAAATCCGTTACTAGACTTAAATTTGATTTTAGTTGACGACAACGAGTCCCCAACGCGGGCACTTTAGAGGGCATCTTGGAATTTCCTTAGTATGGGTGGAGCTACACTGTATTCCCAGTCTTGTTTCGTAACCGACCTATACTTTCACTTACACCGGCTGAAGTGTAACCAAGGAAGACGTATCATCGCGAACTATATTTCAGTTCACCTGCAGTTATAGCTAGAAAACGTTTTTAAAACGTTAATCATGGAAATGAATGTACAAAAATTTCACACAGCCGTTACATACATGTAATTTTCCCGAATCCCTAAATGAATTATTAAAGATGGATGTAATTAAACGATTCACAGACAAATAAAAACTTTCAGTTATAAGGTATATCAACAAAGCGATTAAACACTATTTATTTATTTATTTATATATTTAGTTATTTATTACTTCAAATACCGATTATTCAAGTAGTCAGATGTGTATCTATCACATGCATTATCCCACGCACGACATCTTCTCTGTAAAAACTCTCATCTGTAACCAACACTGAGATTGCCTTAGAGAAGCTTTGACCGTTTTATCTTTTCCGTGATTGTTATTGTGAAGCGTCACATGATACATGGAATAAACTGCAGTTAAGGTCTGATTGCGGTTTACAAAAAGTGGATTTAAAGTAATGCGTTTACTGGTAGAGTTACTACAAAAAAATAATAATCACATGAAAACTGCACGTGCCAAACTAAAATTGTGGCCAGGGATATGAGAATGTAAAATCGGAATAAGCAATTGCGCTATTAGGGACGGTAAGTGACCGGTGCGACGTTATATAGACATTTTAATGCCACGAATACAGCATACACACAAAAACAGGCATGTAGATGTGAACATTTAATATCTTCCAATTGTTTCAACACTCGTAGATTCTCAAAGATAACTTAAATGACGAAAATTATTTGCAAAGCCCCCTTTTTACTGTATCTCCTATTCCACATCAGGTTTAAATATATTCAGTCACTAATTGGGTATTTCCTCTTTAAAACATAGATATTAAGGCTTCTGTTTGGGCTGTTCAACCCATTCTGTCACAAAACGTGTCTTCATTTGGGAAAACTTCTAACTGGTGATCTTTTTATTCATTTATTTCGGATAACTTAAAGATCTAGTTGTAGTCTTTTTTTCTGTATTATCCGTATTACTAACGAGTACTAACACAAAACATCACACATTTCTGGCATTTAAAAGCTGTCATCGTACCGCTCCTTAGCAAGCGCAGGCAAACACATAGGCCTAACTATGTGTTAATAATAATAATATGTACTGACGTATTTCCCTTTTAAATTTGTCATACTTGTCATCATTATATTTCACACAATCGTTATTCATAATCATTTTATGGCTTGGGATCAGGCTAAAAACACTGACACTGCGACAATGACGCCAATCACATAATGGATCACGTGACCCGTCACGTGATGTCCGCTGTTACATTTGTCTCCTTTACAATAGCATGTTGTTCCTTTCAAGTCGTATTCCTGGACTTCTTCTTTTTTGCCAATAACTGAGTCTGTAATCCTTCGGTCCTCGTGTTTGTATTCATAATTTATGCATTCCTCTCGTGTTCGGCTGAACCCGGGGGTCTCCGGACCGACTCGGGGACATCCACGGATAACCACTTTTCGCTGCGAACGGTCTAAAAGAACGTTGGAAAATGATTTATTAATGCATTAGCATTAGCCCAATATTAATATAATTGTGTTTTCACTTCTATGCTAAGTTTTTAATTTTTTCTTTTCATTTCAAGATAGAAAATGTCCAGTTCACTCATCAATGAATGGATTTTTGAGAACCCTGTCAGAGCATGCGTGCATCCATCACCTGACATTCCTAAATCTAAACTCAAGAGTGTACATTCAACATTCAGTTAAACTTTAAACCCTTATATATGCACACTAGCAAAATTGACATAAATATAAATTAACATTCGCACTTATGATTAGATTGTGTTACTGTATATGATAAGGTATGTTTAAAAACGTATCCTGCACTATTTTTTGCACGCCTGTGACGTGTGAATTTGCTTATAAAATATTTTCACCCCAAATATAAAGATGACTAAGAAATCTGGGTCTCTCTATTGTACACTTTCCAGCACACGCACGCACGCTCACACACATGCACTTTACATCTCTCTCTCTCTCTCTCTCTCTCTCATATTGATACACATACCCGTGCAGGCGATTTTTGCTGGAAACAATTGTTTACTACTGCCAATAACATTTGTTAATTTAGTAACACGGTGTATATTACATGATATACCTACCCTGCATGTCCTCTCCGACAATTTTCATGCACATGTTGTGTCCTTTACATGGTTTCACAAATTTTATATATTTCTCTGGGTCACTTATGTTCACATTAAACGTGTCCTCACACTCCCTTTCCTTGAGCGAGTGGCATGTGATACAAGAGAATACTGGCTCGCTTTGTTTCTCGGCCTCTTGCTGCCCTGGCTGTGTGTCTTGTGCGCCACCTATTATAATGAAAGCAAACAATATGTAACGCTCCGTTTGTGAATTCAAAAAATATATTTGATTTACCATGTTACTGTTTTTGTTTCAAATGAATCTACTGAATCTACGGTTACAGCAGATAAGGGGTTATTGTATGTCAACTTGGGATTTTGTACTTAAAGCGATTCAAGATTGTTGCACCAAAATTAATTTTCCTCAAGAACAAAAAAAAAATGCAATTAATTTCTATTCCCGGATCATACAGTGAAGCTCGACCCGCCCCTATATCGCATGTTCTGTATCAATTTTCATTACATAATTCTGATTTAAAAATGACCCCCGTCTCATTAAGACCACCACGTTTTTCTGATTATGCAGAAGGAAATCTCCACATCATGTTCTTCTAATTAAGGAGTTTTAATCATTTTATAGGTCTAAATTGGGAATAATAAGAACCTTTGTAACATATTTAGGCATAAAATTGACCTAGTGGTTTTATAATACACACAATATAATTTGAATATAAGTTTGAGTATTGATTTATATTTGATAATATAATGATAATAAAACCTATGTTATACACCATCAAAACAAACCGCACATACTTCAAAGACTAATTAATGTAGAAGATGAGAAGGTAAATGTTGAAAATAGTTAACTAGACATTTCAATATTTCAAAATATGTAAATGAAACGAAAAATACCACATTATTCTGGTTTTTTAAAATAAGATAACAAAAAATAACACGATCACAGAATAACGTATATTATACATGGCGGGCATTTTTCTCATTCCCTGTAATCGTACCAAAGATAGATTTTACCTATCTGAAGTATGCATTTTCATGAGTGAAATTTGAATTTTCTGTTTGTGTGCCCTATCGCTCCCTGTGATTGTAGGCCTATGTGAATGCCAACATGTACCTTATAAATGAAACCCTGTCTACATTTAAGTTCACAAGTGCTCTAAAAGGCGTGATGATTATATACAGTGATAATATTCAACAACACCACAATTGCCCCTCGACGAGGTATATGGTGATAAGTATCACCTTTATGGTGTTGAGGACATTTAGCATAATTCCATTCCCCCGTCATTGATCTAAAATTCTAATTAGCGGAGATAGGTATCATGAAGAGGATAAGGAAGTAAAATTACGTGTTTTAATGAACGTCTTGTTTTTGAGCATTTTTGACAGAAGTTTGATTTTGTATTTTGAAATAATGATCTACTATAGTATTTGTTATTGGTATGAGTGGAGATGTAACACAAACTTATGACGAACAGTGGCTTGCCGTATCGGAACATGTCTCACGTCCATAGTTCACTAAGCCATTAAGTGAAGCACTAGTACTGAATCGAAATGTAAAAAGTAATGACACATATAAGCAAGCACATGTGCTGGTATAAAGAAAAATATTATCAAAATGCACTAATCGCTGTACGGTACTGTACGGTCATTGTAGGCTATTCAAAACAAGCTTGGGTTTTCATTTTCTCTGTAAATCATTGCCGACGATTTTTTTCCATTAGTTATGTGCTTGTGCTTCGGGTTTGTGAGTGCATGCGTTTGGGTCGCTGTTCGAGTACGTTCTCGCCTCCACGTGTGTGCATCTGTGCCATGGATCTACGCTTTCAAATTTCCCCTATGTATTATGTGTACCTTTTACCCCCTTAAACTACTGTGTAGTCCATCTTGCTTACATGTTCACCAGTTGTAACATACAGTGTTGCAAATATTTATGCACAGGGACACGTTTAACATTTAACTTAAAATCTTTTTGGAGCTGAGGTATTGAAGAAAAATTATAATTAAGCCGTGTAGATAATTTTCAAGTAAGTGTGCTAGACTTATCTTAACCACCCCCCTATCCTCCCCTTTAACAGCCTCGTAAAGAAGTTGATAATAGCATGCATAAGTCCCTGATGCATATCATGATTCAGATTTTAATGTAGACAGGTCCATTGTTCCTGATGCGTGACGCACAGTATTAACCTTTCAAAATGGCGTCGAACAGACAAGAGGTACCACTGTATTCCATTGGCAATAGAAGTAGATGGCATCATAGAATTGTGTTTAAGTTTAGGTTCAGACTGTTTGAAAGGAACTCAATGGATTTAATGCATAAATGATGAGTTTTTTCTTTCTTATTTATGATTTTAGTGCCTTTTTAAAAATTTGGAATATATAAGGCATCTTCACTAATACGATCTGTAATCTCATACCGTCCCTTTACACGTAAGTGAGGATTGATTAAAAGTTACATATAATTGCCAAACGAGTGTCACTCCTCAAATTTTCAATAACGAACACATTTAGTATCAAAGGATTCGTCTGAATGATCTCTGTCTACAGATGTCTTACCAGTAGGTAAACGTATTCCTAAACAAGCTTATGATATCCTTTACGTTCAAGACGAAAGCTTTTTCAACCACTTCAATGAAATAAGTTTCTTAAGACACGAGGTTACGGCAACACAATTCAACAAAAATATAAACTTACCACACTGAAGGAGGCAGAGTAAAGATACAAGGAGAATTGCGACCTCCGTCCGTCCTATTCCAGCCATCTTTGTGTTGTGAAGTTAAAATAAAATGTTCTTTGCTGAATTAATTTCGTGGCACTGGAAAATTTCGGGGAGAATGGGGGAGAAAGCATATTCAGAAATTACTGACGTACCACTTCATATCTGTCTAATTATGTCTTGCCTATCAACAATATCCCTTTTGTTTATCGACATTCTTGTTTTTAACCAAATTTTAGGTAGGTTATTATTTTGATCTGATAGGTTATGGGGGAAAAGGCACACGTTACGTGGTTACCAACGTATTCACACATAAAAATACAAACACACAGGATTTAAACAATAGCTCTTAATTTTTATTTTTTCGAATACGCATTTTCTTGTCTGTTATATCCTGTAGCCCATCCTTTGATCATGCACATATTTATCAAGAATCATGATGTAATTATTTCTGTTTATTTATTTATTTATTTATTCGTTTGTTGATTTATTCATTTAATAATTTAAAACGAAATGTTTTTATCACAGAAAATTTTAATAGGACAAACGGTTGACATACCTGCTCTTTCGTCTTTTTCTCCCGTTAAAACAAGACCACCCTTTTAGTCACCGTAGCGTGCTCAATACGACATTTTATCTATGACTACAGTCTCGGGTGCCTAATAATGTCATGTGGTTTATCTTACATACTTCCACACAAGGCAAGACTGTGACGTTTTATTATCTCCTATTTTCTGGTATACAAAATACTTCTGTGTATAATTAGCGGCGGTTAAGTCTGTGGACCATTGTGCAGCGCACGAGTACGCATTAATAAACGCTTAGTCTAAAACTTTACTTTTTTGTTTTAACTGTGCTTCTCGTAAAATATGAGGTTCCCATTGATGGCTCTATTGTCTTATATTATGTACCGAAAGCAATATCACAGGCTAAAAGCGATACGAATACTCTATGGAGGCGATTCTTCGCCCAGTTTCAATGTAGCTGAAGTGTTGAGGTGTTGGGATACTGGAGATTGGAGATACTCAGTACAAGGGGCGGATGGATTCTCAACCGGACTTAATTGGCCAATAACTTTGTACTACCATGTTCACTTTCAGCTTGTGTAAAATCTCAGCAGAATAAACTGTTTGGCATCCCTTATAAATGAAAATAAATTGTTCATAGCATACAGAAGTGTCTGCAGTTAACTAGTGCAGAATATGAACAAGAAGAAGCGAGAGTTACTTTAATGTAAACGCATAGTCCTTGGGCCTTTTTAATGGGGGTCTATGCGTATAGAACAGAACAGATGCAATAGAACAGGAATCAAATGTGCGGAAAGCGCGCTTTTGAGATAAACAAAATGGCGAAATTGACAAAACTTGCCAACATTTACTTTGTTTGTTGAGGTAACTTAGCCGATACAACTTCGCGTTTTGACCGACAGAAAGTGAGAAAAAGAGACTTAACAAAGGAAGACCACAAACGACCAAGCTATTTCATAAAGTGTATAGCGTGGTAAACATCTAAAGATTTCTTTGTTATTTTTTTCTTGGGTAAGTCCTTAGTGATGATAGATTAGATATAAAATACAATGTAACGAAAAGCCTTTTAATTGATATTATGGAGAATATAAAGTCTTAAACACGCCAAAAACGACTGAGCGCCCTCGTTCATGACGTTTTTTCCCTGTGCTTATTGCGACTGTTGAGACGAAGGTGCGAGGTAGCATTCAGAAGTAATTTTTTCAGCCCACATTCTGGACACCTTTCATTATACCGAAGGAACATTCTTTTTTTTTTTTTTTTTTTTGCCTATTTAAAAATGGTTATGTTTTATAATAATATTTACATTGGTAACCATTCAAAATGTTCAGGAGGTTGATGACAGATATATCACACCGCTATGAAGAATAATTTGGCACAGTTCGTAGGTGTATAATTTTTCATTAAAACAGCTATATTTGTGGAAATCAAACATTGTGCTTTATTATACATTAATAATCTTTTTCCATTCACAATTATGATATTCTCATTTTTCCTCACACGCATATAGCCTTTAAGCTGCCAGTGCCGTGTAACGACCCACAGAGTCGTCAGGGCTATAACCTGAATTGCAGGTCGGTGTCGACTGATATTTTTATTGAATTGGTGGCCTGTATTCCACCTCATGGCAAAAGAGGGCAGGTGTTACAGGGATGGTAGTCCTCTAGGAACCGTAGTCCGCTCCTCATTACTTTATACAGGTGAAATTCGTCCCCTATACTAAATTCCATACTCCGACTTGCCCTGACTTGCACTATAACCATATGGGACCCCAGATTTCCATTACTAGGACTACTATCCCTGTCACACCTGAGCTTCGACGCACCTTCTATTTAGCTTATATCAAACCTTTTATGTATGGAATGATGAAGCCAAGACACAAGCCGAAAATGAAGCCGCACTAAATGCCAGAGAAGGATATGCATTAAGACATTTTATAACCGACTGCTGCACAGCCTTTGGATAGGATAGACAGGTTATTCGTGCTGATGTAGTTTAATTGCTATTAATTGTTTAAAACCTTTCATGTTGTTGCCTGGATCGTTTCTCTGTGACTTTCAAGTACGGTCTCCGTTTACATGTCATTGAGCTCAGCGACAGACAACAGAAACGTGAGTAGAAAAACCATAAGTGACTGTTGAAAGGGTGTATTGTTAATACTGTTCATAACCTGCACAACATTTAAACTTCATGTAGTGCATGAGATTTTCGTAAATACTTGTGAACCAAATTAGCAGTGAAGACTACCTTTTCTGTTTAGAAAATAGATTGCTTAGATGTTTCTTATCACATACCGATAAGGTGTCCATTTTTGTCATCATGTTGATTTTTCCAATTATCTAACACGAGTGCATATTGTTGTACTTAAGGGGACATATCGGCTACAAATATGTTCGTTTCGCTTAACAGGTAGTTCTTTATTATTTATTTATTTATTTATTTATTTATTTTTCTTTTTGCTTAAAACAATATTTTGTTAAGTTAATGACTGATGCCTTCAGTAATAGCAGGTAATAATTAAAGAGGAATCAAATAAGTAAAAGGACGCGGAGTTATTATATGTAAGTTTAACTTCTGAAAGAGTCAACGAGTGTGGAAACTGTTTTAGTGTTAGGTAAAGATGACAGAGGTCAAAGTAAGATATAATTTTATTTGATTGTTTAATTTTGCAGTAGGATTGCAATTTTCTGTCACGTGTATGCAACATGAAAATGGAAAATTTCTGATAATCACGCCATAGACAATCGGAGGAAAAACAATTAAACGCGTGAACTGTATGGAAAAATAGAGTATAAATACTTGCGAATTTGTATGAGGAGTGAGTTGGTAAATAAATATTTGAAGGTTCCAGAACGTCTTTGTCGTCACTATAATAAATAATTAGTCGTTTAACGGACCAGAAACTTGCAAAAAGATATTTTCCTGCCACAAATTGGACAATTGAGATACTATGAAAAAACTTACCGATACCTCCTGAGATCACGTCCATAGTTGTCTCTTTTCTTTTTGCATTTTTCCTTTTAAAGAAAACGCTTGATAGTTTTAGTTAAAGATTCACGATCTTGTTGTAGCTTTGACATATTTCACGTGTTCACATGTTCGTGTTCGTGTTAGTTAAACATTTCTTATAGGATTAAATGTCTGTTGCTGAAGGTTACACACAACTTTCATTGTAATGTGGACTACTACCTGTATCACCTGTACTTATTGCAGCTGTTTGTCAAGGTGACTCAGCACGCTTTCAAGCATAGATTTAATGATAGAAAAGATGTACCTTTTGCTGCTGTGCATCTTTGTGGTAGCCTCTGTATTACTCGTGCTACTGCCAATGATTAAAACGAAGGTAAGAGGTGTTTTTGTAGCTGCACATACAGGCTGGTCCATAAAAACGACCTTATTTACTTTCCATCTCATATTTTATGTATAATGTTAACATAGCATTGTCAGCGTTGAAACATATTAGACAATTAGTTGATATACTGGTATCTCTCTCCCTCCGCCAACACCGAAATGCATTTAGCAATAAATGGAGGCTTTTTTTGCATTATTATTTACGATGAAAGGTAATCACATGGGGTGTAGAAATTGCATCTGACACGCAGCCTTACTATTGTTTCTTTTCAGTTCTTAGTCCGCAACAAATCTGGCAACGACATTCCGGGACTGAAGGCCAAGGACATCAAGTAAGTATCCGGATGTGCAGATTACTTCCCTTGCTAAAACCCCCCATAGATTCTTGGTGATGCTTCAGGAATCCTGTAGGATCTTGTGGAGGAAAAATCCTATTGGTAGCATTTCCAATGGGGTTTCTTAAAGATATCTTTAAGGACCCAATAAAAGGCCTCGTGAACGATAATTACCGTTTGTGGCTTCATGCGGCGCGTTTGTGAATGCAAACTCAGAATTTACGAATTAATCCGTTATATCATATTGCGAACGTAATAATATTTGGTGAGAGCTAGCTTGAGTAGTATTTTAGTGCTTATTATTGATTTCATTCAAGGCATCGTATGATATACGCTTCAACAGAAAAGTCATCTTTTCTTAATGAAACGTTCGAAGACTTGGTTATTCTGGATATATTATATATGGCGGTAGATTCGGCTACAAAGCATACACATGTACACAAGTTGTCGTTTGTAAAAAGCTTTGGTATTTTCATTTCAGACATGGAAACCTAGATCTGGTTAAAAAGCATGGAAGTCTCCATGAGTTCCTTATGTGGCTACACCAGCAGTATGGACCTATAGCAAAGTTCTGGTTTGGAGAACAAATTGTAGTCAGCATTGCCTCTCCTCAACTGTTTAAAGAGACCTCGCGTATGTTCGATAGACCAGGTGAAAGAAGTTTTGGTTGGTTTTGCTCATTTACTGTTCAAATCAAATTTAGCTATTGTAATCGATTATACATGTATGTGCATGATTTAATTTCTTTACGTTTTACCTATAGTCGAAACATTTTTAATTTTTCCTTTAAGAAAAATATATGGCAGCACTTAGCTATATAATAATAATAATAATAATAATAATAATAATAATAATAATAAAGGTAATAATAATGATTATAAACAAAAAACCAGTAATAATCATGATAAGTTATTCTTCATCTGACTACATTGAACTTTGTAATGTATTTTCTTTTACGTAAATGTGATCCAAACATCTGTTTCCAGAGGTTTTGTTGAGTATCTTCAAGCCCTTGGTCACTGAACACGCTATCCCATATGCTAACAAAGGAGACGGAAAGTGGAGGAGGAACACTTACGACCCATGCTTCAGTCACGAAAGTGTGATGAGATGTATAGAAAAATTCCAAACGGTTATTCATTTTAATTTATTATATATAATCTGATCCTTTCCAAATGTCAGAAACGTTTAAATACAGTTCGCCCACAGATTTGAAGTCCTTTTGAATTAGTCAGTTTGTGCTTTTTAAATTCAATGCGATGCCACTGGCGATCTTTAGAATAGATGTAATTGCATTTTGAGGTAATAAGAAGTGTTTCAAATACGTTAAATTATTTTTCATTGCATTTAAAAAGAGAATTTGCGAATAATTCTTCTTTTTTATTCTCTAAATCTCTATATTATATATCTTGCTGCAGCAGATAGTTAACTATGACAAGAATGACAAGAATCTTGAAAAATTATAATTGTCTAGGATTTATTTTATTTATTATTATTAATATTTTGATCTGAGTATTTCAATTATCACAGCTTGCCGAGGAATTGTTGGAGAAATGGTCTCAAACACCACGTGATGAGCATATCCCTTGCCGCCAGGAGGCTTTATTGTTCACGTTGAAGGCCATAACACAGACTTCACTTGGAGACTACTTTTTGGATGAGGAGCAGATCACACAATTTTGGAAGGCATATGATGTAGTAAGTTTAAATCGACTCTTTTAGTGCATTCAGAATAATTTGATCCGCGGACCAAATATGGTCGACCCACTTAAAAGCTTGCCGAGTCATTAACTAATAAATGCTGTATAGATTTCCCACGGGAATTACGCGGTAGGCGGGTCGCTCATATTTGATCTGCGGATCTGATCATCTCTGATTGTGAATCCGGGCTTTTGGCATTTGGAATCGTGTCTAAGAAATGACGCGTGCGGATTCTAACATGAGACTGTATGCATAATTCTAAACGCAAACTTAGGTCGCATAAATTGGACTAGCATATGCACGATGTTCTATTTTGCTTGAAAATGAAAGATCTAATATTCTTACAGTGTTGGTACGATATGGAAGAGAGACTTGGAGGAGATATTCCAAAGCCTGGGAGTGAGCGTGAAAGGAAGTTTAACAATGGTGGGAAAAGGTTTTATTTCACTCAGACTTGATTCTTTTCATTCATTCTTTTCACGTGTAGCCGTTCAAAGAAATTATGAAAGTGTCATCCTTTAAAGAAATCATATAATATTGTTATTTCATTTCTTCTCAGTTATTGTTATGTGTACTGTGTACCGTTTTAAGATTTTCGACTAATATTACATGTACCTGTACTTCTTATGCTAAAGGATTGGATATTCCCATAAGCACTTCGATTGTTAAGAAAATGTGTAATTTTACTGTACATAATCCGTTTTACGCCCGCTCGACTTCCAGAATTTTTTTTCTTTTTACAGCGAATAAATATATGAAAGATACATTAGCAGCTGCGATTGACTATAGACAGAAGAATCCGACCACCGAGAAACGAGAGATGTTAATTGACGTCCTGATTGAGAACAATATCCCAGATGACATGCTAAGGGGAGAGCTAATGAGCTTCATCGTTGGTGGTTTCCATTCATCAGGAAATTGTAGGTATATGACCGTATTAACTAGCTCTGCTTAACCATTTTATGAATTATTAAAACCCTTACAACCGTGTACGCCTGTTCAATTTTAATTTATAAAATTAATATCTTGAAAACCTTCAACTGAGGTTAAGGATTACCGTACTATTTCATACGAGCCGTGCCTTTATTCAGATATGGAAAAACAGGGACGCAAACATCCTGTCCAGGCTTTTCACTCCCAAGGAATATCGGCAGCTTGATCAAAATTTTTTCTAGGGAAAAGGCGGAGACGCAAAAATGACTTATGTTAATCAAATACAGTAGCGCAATTACATTATAATATGTACAGTGTGCGGATGGAAGAAAATCGTTTGGTTTTGTCTCGATTCGCTACTTATACTTTGGGTTAGATATACCGGTACTTTGGGGGGGGGGGAGGGGGGCAACTGCAAAAAAAGCTAAAAGAGGGCACTGATAGGTCTTAACTAACCTTTGTTATCATTTAAACCTCCTTTACACTGAACGGCGTTCTTTCTGCGTCTTTTGTGCCACCATGAAATGGTATCCCTGTGGTCGTAGAATGGAGCCACAAGCATCGCTTTGGTTGCAAAATGAATACTCAATGATCGGCCAGTTGTCGACAGGTAAATAATTATTTTTACTCTCAAACGAGACCGTACTACAGGACAGAGAAAGGACGCCGTCCAGTGTAAAGGGGGCTTTAGAGAATTCCAAACGATAGTATTGCCTTAATCACCAAACCCATGCGACCAACTGAAAACTAAACTGTTTATAACGTTTCAGTGTTAGTGTGGGCCCTCCACTTCATCTCTGTATATCCTGTCGTTCAGGAGAAAATGTACCAAGAAGTAAAAGCCGTACTGGGTGACACAGGCAAGGTTACACCGGTTAACATTGCAAAGTTGGTGTAAGTGCTTGTATAAAATTCACTTACTTGGTGCTGGTCTTGTTACTGTTTGTAAATGTGGTAACAATGTGTAATAATTTCTAGTTATGTATATGGCCACTTTACGCATCCAACCATTTATATATTTATTTATCTATTTATTTCTTTAGTTATTTTATTATTTCATTAATTATTTTAGTATATTTTGCAATTGTTTTATTTTAAGAAGACCTGTTTTTCTCATTTCGAACTAATCCTTACCTTTGCACTTACTCTGAAAGAAGCACATTCTGCATCGTTACTTTACCTTACACAAGTATTAAACCGTAAAAGAAAATTCCACAACTGAGACTTCATATTTCATCTGTTAATTCACGTACCAGGTACACCCGTCAGGTAATGGACGAAACGCTGCGCGTGGCGGTGGTTTCACCTTATGCTGGCCGCTATGACGATGAAAAAGACGTCACACTGGGAGGTTACGTCATACCAACTGGAGTAAGTGAGAGACGTCATTATACATGGAAATATGAATAGCAAACGCCATTTTGTTTGTCTGTTTACATGACATAGATGGTGATTCTTCATAAAATATGTGAAGTCTCAATCATATTTGCCATACATGTATGAAAGAATACGATTTTCCGACTTTTGTCGACTTTGTAAATGTCCACGGGCCACCGTGGGAATGTTTACATTTTAATTTTTTTTTTTTTTTTTTTTTTGGTATTCATGGCTGTATTGACTGTCTTTAAGTGCTGGTCGCATGTTCACACTGGCACCGGAGATAACAACTTTAACTTCAGAGCAGCTTGTTCGGTCCCGTTTTTCTTTTTTCTTTATTTATTCTAATCTTATTTTATTCTATTTTTATGATTATGTTTATCATTTTTAATTGTATTTCCTTGTTATTTCTTAGAGCTCCTAATTCAATCTAATTTGGCTAATAAGAAAGGATGGACTTCTATGAAATCCGTTTACTGTTACTGCGGTTCGAGTGTATATTGTTTATAAAATAACGTCTGATTTATAGCAATTATATATAAAATACTTCGTGACAAATTGTTAATTAAATTTCTAGACTCCCATTATCCATGCGTTGGGTGTAGTACTAAATGATCCAGTTTGGTGGCCAAATCCCAAGAAGTAAGTAATTTTAGAATAACAATTTATATGGAAACATATGATATGTCGTGCGTTTATTTTGGAACAAGGCGAAGACAAGTTTAAACTAGTATGATGAAATTAAGAGAATACCGACATATCGATGAGCTCCATCTAGATATTAAATTTGTCAGAGTCAGAATTCATAACTGTCGTTCACTTTTCAAATTACATTTAAAGCGATTGAGTTATCGAAGTTCCACTTATCGAAGCTCCACTTTGAGACATCAGGTCTGGCCTTTTCTGATTTAGATATACTTATAGTATAATTTATTCAGTTTTTCAAGGCCTCCGGCCCATGGTACATAATAATAATGATAATAATAATAATAATAATAATAACAGTAAAGTCCGTGAGAAGTATTAAGGATTATTAATTTTGTTTTTGTCAGTGATCTAAAATTTCTTTTCTCAATAAAAAAGCATTAAATATATAAGCAGCTAAACTAGATATTAATTTTGTGTTTTTTGTTGTCATTAATCTTAAAAAACTTTCTTTAGTAGGGTTATTCACTGGCAGATATTTTTCTCTTAATTCTGTATATGCTACACATGTCATTAAAAAATGGTATTCGTCTTCAACATTATAAATATTATGTTTTTTACAGATTAAACAGAGTCTATTGCATCTTTCTATACCTTTCCATCTACCGCTCTAAATATTTAGTAGGTGATTTGCACATCTGAATCTTGCTAGTGAGGTTCTGTTTTACATTTTTAACGCTTAATAAGTAACACTCAAGTGTTAACGTACTCTTAAATAATGATTAAGTATCCAGTTTGCTGATCCTACATATATTACTGTGCCATATTTGGCCAGCATTATCTACTAATCTTTCTCTGAAAACTTTAATAAATAAAACGGAATTTCCCACACCCTGAGCCTCCCAGACATATCCAAATCCATATCTGTATAACAGTGTTTTAACATCTGTGGCCCAAGTGTGCCTTCCACTTGAATCTAATTTAAATAGCATATCATATACATGAGCAGGATAGCGATATTCATTCATATGTACAAGCTTTAACCAAATTTAATGCTATTTACCATATAATTGGTATACGATGGATATCTTCCGCATTCGCCTAGTATAGCTTCCGTCACAGTATTTGAACTAACACCTAATAAATATCTACAAAATTTCTTGGAAGATTTCAATACTTTCTACTGGTTTATGACCCCATATCTCAGCACCATAGAAAAGAATGGGTGTTATCATTATATCAAAAAGAAAGAAAGCTTCCTTAAAGGAAATACATGCTTGTTTCAAATATAACTTAATAACAAATAATGCTTTATTGGCTTGGTTGATTTACCCTGAGTGTCAGAGCAACGTAAAAGCTAGCTTGTTAAATATATACCTTGTGATGGAGTCGCTTTTACTAGCTCTGACGAACAGCGACAATCTGAGGGCGTTCTTCTTCAAAATTTTGCCTGGGGCGCTTCCATATTTGGAAGTCACACGTCACAGCTGTGTCCGCCTGGATCCATATTTGGAAGTCATAAGTCTCGTACGTCACAGGTTTGGCCGCCTGGAGCTGCCTTTCCCGCCTCGCGCTGAAGTTATCTCGTGCAGACGAGACAAGAAGCAAAGTGCCTGACGAAGTTTGAATTGAAAATATCTTGCAGTCGAAGGTCAGTGCCACAATAGAAGCAACATTCTGCTATAAAAACTGATTTTGGTGTAGCCATTGCACAGCCCTTATAGCGGTATCGGGCATACAGTGTAGCTGTCAAATTTGGCACACGGCAAACACGTGTATTGCGCACGTGTACATCTCAGGACTTAATGTTCTTTGATAAGCAAAAATACAAAAACATTGGATATATCTTTTCTGTTCGAAGAATATTATTTATTTTTTCACTTTACATCTTAAATACAGCAAATAAAATTAAATAAAGCAGAATTAAGTCTGTTTTACGTTTCATTTTGGTCTGATGACATTCAACTGCAGATTCACTGCGGAGCAGTTCTACTTGATTGATGGAAGTGTAACGTGGCCGCTGGTCACTAGAGCCGGTGTTGTTGATATGGGTTATATATGAAATAAAGATCGAGCTGGCAATACCGGAATCTAGAACCTAGGGTAGGTTGATTTGATGTTGGGTAGTTTTACCCCAACCGAGGAAGGCACCAAAATATGTTCCTAAGTATTTATATGCAGGTACTGCTTCTAATTTTTTGCCCTTGAAAAACTACCTTTCATTTTTCTTTATTTTACCACCTCTCCTAAATACTACTATTTTTGTCTTTTGGACATTTACTAGCATACCATACTGACTGCAATATTTTTCTAATTGATGAATTTGTTTCTGTAACCCCCCAACAGTGTCTGAAATGCATACAATGTCATCAGCATAAAGCAAAGACATGAGATTTGGAAACACCTCATTTATGTAAATACCCTGACATCCAGCCTTGTTCAAACTATGATAAAATTCATTTATGAATAATGTAAATAGAAAAGGACTTAACATGCATCCTTGTCGAGTGCCCATGTTACATTTAAAATACTCAGTAAGGCCTAAATTTTTTAGAACACATGATTGCAGTTGGGAATACATAGAGCGTAAAACTGTGACGACATGTCCATTTACACGGTTTTTTTGCAAGTACATACCATAATAATTTGTGTTGAACACTATCGAAAGCGGCTGAGAAATCTTTAAAAATACAGTAGCATCTACCTTTTCTTCAACTTAAGTATTTTTGTACGCAACCCTGCAATGTAAAAATGTGATCGACAGTGGAGTAACCAATTTTATAGGCAGCCTGAGCTTCAATCGTTGTATTATTTTCCACTGCCCAATTATTAAATCTGTTTCTCAAAATTTTCATAAATATTTTTCCCATGACATTCAAAAGCGCAATTCCTCTATAATTTGTTGCCACATTTACATTTCCTTTTTTGAACAATGGGTACAGAATGGCATTGCACCAGCTAGAGGGACATTTTCCACTTATTAATACAGTATTATAAAGATTCTGATTTAGAGTATAAATTAGAATTAACGTATTCTCCCAGGTTTGATCCAGATCGTTTCAGCCCGGAGAAAGTGTCAGAGCGGCACCCCTACTCCTTTCAACCGTTTGGTTTTGCCGGCAAGAGGAAGTGTCCTGGGTACCGTTTCGCTTACGCAGAAGTAGCTACGGCACTGGCAAACATTCTGCTGAGGTTTCAGGTATGCTTAAAATACGCTGTAAAGAACCAAAAAATAAATGATAAATTTGCTTTTTCAGACAAACCCTACAAGGAGATGGTGTGTCGGTTTATCAATATGAAAGGAACTAAGTTCAGTTGTGTTGTCACATAGTACAATTAACTAATTGGAAACCACACATATATGATATACATGTATTTATATATATTTGTAATTTATTCAACTCATCTGTTTTGTCGCGTTTGTAGGTTCATGAGGTCAAAGGTCAGAAGGTCAAGGCCAAGTATGGACTAGTTACAACCCCTGTAGACGAAGCCTGGATAACACTGACTGAGAGAACCTCCAATAATTCAGTTAAATAGATGGAATGAAATTTATTTAAAATAAAACTTCAACCGACATTTGTCAGAGTGACGTTATTAAAATGTATTATGTTAAGTACAAGAGTACTGGAGTACAAATCTGGGAAGCAGCCTTCTTTTTCATTTCAAAATTGACTTTATCTCAACACAAGTACATTTAGTTTATTCATATTGTTCTATTTCCTTGTCATAGATTGTTAATTTACTCCATCGTCATACAACCCGCAATGTGTAGATCATAAAAGATTTAATGTCAATCGATATGGATTTGATTTTATGTAAGAACCGTCTATCTATATAATTTGATAGGGATGATACTATCCTAATGTTGTTCTTTTTATACTAACCTAAATAATGCATAGTAACCAGAAATAATCATAATATCCTGTGGCGCATCCTTTGATGATGCATATATTTATCAAAAATCATGTAGTAATTATATCAGTTTATTTATTTATTCCTTATCATGGGTCACTAGTCTCACGTTTTACTACGAATATTATACAGATAAATACATGTCCAGCAAGCGAAAAGACAGAAAGAGAGGGTAAGGTTTTTACTCATATATATATATATATAAGGCTTCCTAACTACTAGGTGCGATAATGATTTTTAGAATATTATACGTAATACGCGTGTTTGTGTGTGTGAATATGTGACACAAAAATCCCTGTACTAGAAACAGATTAAATTTTACAGTCAGGTAGAAACATGAACAAATGTGGAGAAACTTTGCATAGAGGAGGAAGCAACAAAACCTCTTACTAAAAAGAAAAAAAATACGCTCTTCATCTCCAGCTTTTACTGGTTCGAGACATCATTTGCCTGATATGTGTGTTATATGCAAGAAAAAGGACAAGTGGATAACAGTGAAAATCATAGAGAGAGAGAGATAAGCTGAAGGAAGCTGATGTACTGTAACTGAAGGTATATACAACATAAAGTAAAATGAAACCGTAATCCCTGCATATGTATTATTTATGGTCATGATAATATTACATGATGCTTATTTATTTTGGTGACTTTGTGAGATTTGATGGATTTTTAGAAAATATATTTTCATTGTGATAGCACAAATCAAAATTGAATTCTAATATTTCACATTGAAAACATTTTAATGTGAAAATCTCATGTGAGTGACAATTCAGTTTAGATTTTTAAACCAGGTATATTATATTGGCTTTCTAAATATTTTATGGAGTAGTTAAAGAAATGTTGTACAAAAAGTATTTTGAATTATAATTGTTACTATATGCCAATGGATTTTTAATCTAAAGGCGGTACAATATTGAGGCAAATATTTTTCATTTCTGTTCTTTTGCTCAAAGGCAACTTGACCAAGACAGCAGAATTAAGGTTGACTCGTTTTTGCTTGAAAATGAAAACTTGAAAGAAAAGCTTCATGATATAGAGACAAAAAAAAACAAACAAACAAAAGAGCTAGAAGGAATTGTGTAAGAAGATATGGAAAGAATTATCGCTAACAGTTTTGGGGAGAAATGTTAAATCACTGATCCTTCCAAAAATGACTCATTTATTTTCCACATTACCAATACCAAATAAATATGTAGACAAAATACAAAAAATGTGCTTTAATTTCTTATGGAATGGAAAAATTGAAAGAGTAAAACGAGATATAATGACACAATCGTGCTCAAATGGAGGTATAAAAGTCCCCGATATTAGAAACTATATTGATTCCCTAAAAATTTCATGGCTCAGGTGAATCATGCACAAAAATTCAATATATATATATATATATATATATATATATATATATATATATATATATATATATATATATTGCAAATGACTGAGTGTTTGTTTGTGAAAGAGGAGTGAGTGAGATCATGAAGCTTTGTATTATTTATTAAGTGTTATCAAGTCTTTTACTATTAGGTTATCAACATATTGTTCCAGTGAATTTACCAATGCAGCAGCCAAAGAAGTTGTCGCAAATGAGCTGTATTATCTTCTTTCTTTGGCCATTTCCGCTTTTGATAATCTCTCTTTGCCAGAGGAAACTCACACCAAGCTGCTGTCAATCTGTCAAGATATTGTATATTTAGCATTTAATAGGAGGAAAAGTACCCAGAAGTAACTGGCTCTATCTCTGACAACAAGACACTTGACTGGGTCTTCCTACATGTAACTGCTCACATTATTGAAAAATAGCAGCATCATATATTTAACCACTGTAGGCCTAGAGGCCAGTATTGCCTGACTTCAGTTGCTATCCTCCAATGATATACCAGCAGGTTTCATCAGAGGATTTCCCACAATTCTGTTACAATTCTGGGACAATATTGACTTTAAGGAAGAAACTCTCACTGGGGCTGGAACTACCCACAATTCTAAAAGCATAATGATTCAAAGAGAGCAGCTAAATGTGTCACTGCCAAGCCAAGGGCGACAGTCGTTGACGAAAAAGAAAGTCTTTGCGATTACAAGAGACAGTCCTGAATTTAAAACACTTATAAAAATCAACATCAACATGTATAATGCTTAGAATAAGGCATTTTGCTGTGACTTTTTACAATGAGATTTAAATATGAATGGAACTCCCATGCAGTACTTGTAATATATTCTCTTTTCTGTATATGAACATGTAACATAAAGATAAACTCCCAAATACACATATGTTCGTCCTAATTGAATCTTTTATGTGGTTTACTTATTTAACTGGAATGAATTTAGGATGAAAATATTAGAATAAAGCTTCAGTATACATAGAATTATTGCCCCATTGTTTTAGTCCCTTTCCCATATTTTTATTTTATAATAAAATCTTTTCAACAAAGCGTCTGTTTTATCTTATTATATATATTAAATCATTTATAAGCACATGCTCCTAAAAGAATCATTTTAAATAGAACGTCCACTGTCATCCCATCGGTGATTTTTATGCGATGAACGTTGGACTTACTATCGTAGGAAAACGTGAGACTAGTGACCCAGATTATGCAATGGGTGGAATTAGGTCAGCTTGCTTCATGCCATTGCGTCCTATGATTCAACAATGCGTCCTAAGCACCGCCATGTTTTACTTAGTGCGAGTGTTTGAAACTGAACACTGTTTTCTTGTGCAGTTTTCGTGGAAGGAACTCCGCGGATTCCGGTGGCAAAATACTCCATTATATTAGTTATGAATCGACCTTCTAGCCACCTGATGTGGGAGCTAAACAACATCTCTCAGGTTTCAGATAACGGTCTATAAATGCAGTGTAACAACTAAAGAAGTTCACAGGTCTGACCTGAATTGCAGGTCTGTGCCGACTGATCTACCAGTAGATATTAATGACCTACATTCCACTTCATGGCTAAAAAGGGCCCGGATATTTGGCAAATGTCAAACCTGTGGTATGGTACAATGAAGACAGTACACAGAGAATCGCACTTAATTGCCAGAGATTAATTAGCAATGAGAAATTATGTAATCGACCGACTGTCCTGCAGTTTAATAGCTATCAGTTGTTTAAGACCTTTTACGTTGTTGCACGTATCATCTGTCGGTGACTTTCAAGTACATCAAGGCACTCAGCGACAGACGTTTTAACCGTGAGTAGAAAAAGTGAAGTGAATGATGACAGCGTGTGTTGTTTATATTTTTTAATATCCTGCACAGGGTAGTGCATTAGACAAAACGCACTTTATTTGACTTGTTCATAAATATTTGGAAACCAAATTAACAGTGGAGATTACTTATGTATAATCGTTTTTCTTTTTGATTTTTTTTATCTAAAAATTAGATTACTCACACGCGTTTTGCACCACTTTTGGTATCCAAATTTGTCACCGTGTCTATTTTAACATCTTAAACAAGTACATATGTTTATCTTTGAAGATACATTTGTTACAACTCTATTTGCACGTTTCGCTTTATTCATTTATTTATTCATATTTATTTTCATTTATTTAATATCTTCTTTGTTTAAGACAGTAATTAGTTGCAAATCTGATTGGATTCTCGCTAGAAAGATATATTTCCCTGCCAAGAATTTGTTAATTGAGATTCTATGAAAAAACCTTACGATACAGGCTTCCGAAGCAACGCCCATGGTTCTTTTTTCTTTGTACATTTTGTTCTTTAATAGTGAACATTTGACCATTTTATCTTGATTCACGATGTGGCTCTATATTTGTTAAGTTAATTGTTATCATATTTCACAGGATTAGTTTATGTGTCTAGATTAACTGGCTCTTACTAAAAATTTTATGCTCATGACTTTCGTGGCTTAGTTTACATTGTACGACTATTACATGTATGTCACGTACCTTACCACATTGCAGGTGTATTCCAAGGTGACTCAGCACGCTGCCAAACAAAAGTTTAAAAATAGTGAAGATGTACTTACTACTGCTGTCTGTCGTGCTTGCTGTCTTCGTATTACTCGTGCTCCTACCAATGATTAAAACGAAGGTAAGGTGTGTTTTTAAAGCTGCACAAAAATTTAAGATCAATCATTTATATTCCATGGCTGTAACAATTGTCATGCAGTCAGTAAATGTAGACAGGAATATATACGCGTGGTACACTTCCAAGCCATGTTATGTAATAGCAACTATATAGCAAGTAAAAGTATCATGGATAAGATGATTAAAAGCAAAAAAAAAAAAAAAAAAAAA